TTTCATCATTGTTGTTGTAAAATTGCTGCTGTTGTCATTTTGTTTTAAAAATGTTCTACAAATTGTCAGAAATGTTCAACAAATTGTTCTAAAAACGTTTAAAAAAGTGAAAAATGAAAATATTTCAAACATGAAGTAACTCTTGTGTGAAATAAAACACAGTAGAAAGTATTATACAAAACATTATTTTTGAATCAAAATGACAAAAGTAGCATAAAAACACATTGATTGTAACCCGGGTCAAAAAGGACCCAGTTACGGAAGACTGTATAGTCAGTCACTCACGCATCAGAGGGTTAAACAAGGGATATATAATATTTGTAAAAGTAGAAAGCTTGTAAAACAGAAAACAAGTGGGAAAAAAAAAACAAAAAAAACTAAAATAGTCGCTCTCGGGAAATTACAGCATCTATATTGAAAAGTAATTAAAAGAAAATACACAGACATTTTTACTTTAAAAGCTGTATTACCTATGCTGTTTTTGGTGGGAGTATAAGCAGTCACACTGTTTGTGTTGCTGTCCTGGTGGTTGAACATATTAGCCAGAGGGCTGGTTTGAGCCTTCAGAGGAGGAACCGGGGGAACAGGCGCACTCTGCCACAGGAGAACCAACCACATCATCAACATCACGTCTGAAGTCAGGAAACAACTTTTACTTTCCAAGTGCAACAAATTAAAATGACCCCAACGCTGAACTAGAAAGTCACAGCTGCAACAGAATAGTTTAAAAATAAAACACTAAAACTAAGTTTAATTTCAGGCAGAACTAATACACAATTCAGCTACATTGAGAAATTAACAAAACAACACATTGTTATAAAATGCTGTTTGGAATGATAATTTTGCAATCTGGCAATGGTATTTGAACATTATATCCACCGTTTACACTGCTCTTCCAGATACAAGGTTATTGGTTCTAATTCTATTCATATCAAATTTTAATTGTTTTCCATCTATGACTGCCACAAAGGTCAAGGGAAAAAATGTAAAGTGTTATGAATAAAAATATTCTGCAAATGCAAAATGAAGAAAATTAATCAAATATGGAGTGTTTCACTGTAATGAATATATCTGATAAGTAAAATTAATGACAAGCATTAGATAAATTATTCTCAGACTTCAATACATAATTAACTGACATATTGAAATGACTAAAATCATTCAATTATCTATTAGCTCAGTATTTACCCCAGTATGTAATGATCTTCTGCATAGGAATATGATATTATTTATTTTTTTGTATCTGTTAGCTAATAAAGTCAGTAAGCAGGGCTAACGCTGCTGTAGTCAAGGTTATTGGGCTGCAGGTTGGGTTATGTAAAGACCTATATGGAAGGCACTGTAGCAACAGAAATACAAATTAAGTAAACATTGAAATAATATGCTTGTTTTTAGGATATAATGAACTATTTTATTTATCAATATCAACATTGTGGCAATAAATTGCGTAACTACTAAAGCATCGACACGTTTCCAGTTTGAAGTGAAATTTTGACTCCCAATCAGAAGCACCCAGGCCCTGTTTCCTGCCTACATGACAAAGAAAGTGTCGACTAAAATGGCTGCATAATCTCACCGTCATCTGCTGCTAGAGCACAATTATTCAGTTTCATAAAAAAAAAGTGTTTTTACACAACACATAATGGCATTTATATCACTTCATCTACCATTAATATGTACACCCACACATGGTGAAATCACCTCAGTGAGAGGTGTAATTAAATTTTTCCCATTCTGCGCTGATGAGATATTGTTTTACTATCCTGCACAGAGATTCAAACATTCAGATCTCATCCCTGTCCTGCCGTACCATGCTGTGTCTCGACGGGGTGGGAGAAGGCATCGGTGCAATGGCGACTGGCTTGCGCAGTTCATCAATCATGGATAAGACGCCGTCCGGCATGTTGGTGGCATCGTTGCACTGGTCCTGCCAGCTGCTCAGCTTTGTTGACAGCAAGTCTCTGGTCTGTCCATCAGCCATGCAAAGAAGGAGAAAACATAATGTAAAAACTTCACAACTTTTACCTTGCAAGCCTTTGTCACATTTGTGACTTTATTGCAAAACTACAGACTTGGAATTGTGCGTTTTACCTTCTCATGATAGGAAGCAAAATGATAGGTTAGCAAGCAGTGTTTGTCAACAAGAAAACAGAAGCGTCTCTTCTCCTCCAGCAGAGCCTCCTTGCAGCCATCTGCGAGGAACAACTGCATCTCCGTCTGTCGAACTGTCAGGGCTTCCAGGATCTGACAACAAGCAAACAAATATGAAAAGACTCGATATCCAGTTGCTTTAAGCATGCATGAATCTGCATGCTGAGAGGAACAGGTTTGACTGTAGTTCAGTGCCGTCAGTACATGTATTGTATGATTGGACATTCAAAGTATAAGTATTGTTCAAATATCCGAGTTTTAATAATGATACAATTTAATATTTTAGAAGAACAGAGGAAAGGTTTCTGCTCAATAATAAAAAAAAAGAAAAGACTGAATAGGTGGATGAGCACAAATGGGTCATTTTTGAACCCGTTTGTGCATGAGAGGTGTAGTGATACAAGAGGATTTCTATTGGGGAAAAAGAAAACTTACAATAAAGATGTAAGGTGATCAAAAACAAAGCGAGTGAGGAACACCTGGAATACTGACTGATAAAAACTCAGTCGGGACTCTTGTGACCCAGGTTGTGCATCAAAGAGTTAAGCATAGCTTCTATTAGGTACACTCTCTTATCTTGCCTTGCACATGGTCTACAGCCACCAAAACCTTCTTGTTGTTGATGCACACACAAACATAACAAGGATGTGTTGCATGCAAGCAGCACGGCTCTTTTCTTAACATCCTAATCTCTCTCATGCAGGGGAACAGGTATTGTTAGTTTATCGTTTCCTGTATTGTCAGACTCTGCTGAAAGTAGTATTTAGAGGAAAGATAGAGCGGCAGCATGAAGGGAGGACAGGACAAATCTCATGAACAGAGGGGACAGTGTTATCTTCACTGACAGACAGGGATCAAAAGAAGGTCAGTGGGGTCCCTGAAAGGATTTGGTTTGTGCATGCATGCGATAGCAAACCCAGCAAGCTCATTTTGTGATATTACCTGTTGGATAATTTGGTTTTCAACAACATAGACACAATCAAGTTCCAGTAGAATACTTTGATTTGCTGATATAGTGAACAGGTATTAGGGAACAGCACTGAAAGGAAGACAAGTTGTACCCAAAGTGATTTTGTACCTCCAGAGATAACTCCAATCAGAATTTCTCAGTTCTTCTCAAACAGAGTAAAATAATAACACAATCAAATAAAACTCTGACTGGACCTGGCTTTCTTAAGATTGGTCCCGATTCCTTGGCTCTGACACTTTGGAGATCCACATCTCATCAAACTGGCTGGAGGTGGCACACCTGTAACGGCTGCTGGCACTGAGGCACACACCCCTGCTCCTTTCAAGTTGTAGAACAGCAGTCATCTGCTAATTCCTTTAAAGCTGAGGGATGATGTTTGCTTGAAGGGTGAGGCGGTTCACGACCTCTTTCGTTTCTACTGTGTCAAACCCAAACAGGAATAATCAGCTGGCGGAAACATGAACCTTACAGTGAGTGTTTCTGACTCCTGAATCAGAATGCAGGATGCATTCTTGCACAATGAATGCGCTGCGATATGTAAATGAGAGCAGGCCCTGTGTTAACAACCAATGTTTATTTTCATGAATGCGTTTTGGGAGGCTGCTGGAACACCATGTGGTATTTGTTTGGAGGAGTGTGACAATGATAGTGATGCAGCACAGGACTGTATGTATATTTTGGAAAAGAAGCATCCTTTTATTGTAAATGCTGCACAAATTTATGCTGAACATAAAAAAGGCACACAAATGACAAAACATGGAAAAATACAAGGTCCATAAATATGAATGAACATTACCATTTTAGTCTTAAATGTGCAAACTTTTTTCAATTTACCTGTTTACCCAAAATGTTGATGCAACCTTTCCCATGGTTACTGAACAGCAAGATATTTTAGCTCACATTAAGATAGAAGTGTCGCTGTATTATAAGCCTAAAAGTAAAGATGAAAAACTAGCCACATGCCACTCATGTCCTCTCGTAAAAAGCGACCATTTTGTTTACAAAACTAAAACAAATATATACAACATTAGAGCCGGTAGATGTCATCTTTGATCACATCTTCCTTTTCCACCAAATGTCTGTGTCCAGTAACAGAGAGTCCTGCATGAATAAGTCTGTTTAGATCTGCCAGCATCTCTGTCGCCAACCAACGCAGGAAACAGGCCTCTGATTGTGGCAACAAGTCGGCAAACAAACAGAGGCAAATATCAGCAGCAAACACACAAATCTTTACAAATTAGACTATTATTAGAACAGCACAGAGCTTATTGATTTTGCATTTGAAGCCACGGTCGTCTCCGGATCACTTTTATAATTGCATGCTGCACAGCAGAGATGGACAGACAATACTGTCGCGATGTTGTGATTCTATGACTGACTTAAGTATTTTTTTTATTATTTATTCTCAACAATGAAGAAAGAGAATCCCATGAACCCGACAGTGTTGATCAGGTTCAACACTGTCATCATTTGTCATATATTTATTTTTCTAAAGAAATGAATGAGGAGGAACGTCATTTAGAATATTGCAATGGCCGAGTCAAAGTTAAGATCGCAATCTGATTGAAACTGGATTTCAAGAGAGCGGTGCGAAGGACGAATGACTGCAACCTCATTTGACTCACGATACTGTAAAAGATTTAACCAAAATTTCTCCACAAAGTGAAAGCCTGATAAAGACACAAACTTATTCTAATAATAAAAATGTGAAATTAGACATGAGTTGTTGTGCGTCCAAGTTTAAATTCCAATAATCTAAGAATCTGTTAAAGGTAACCACATACATTTGGAAGGTGCTGCACAGTTATGAACAGTATGAATAACTAACTGCAAGTGGGCCCCATATTTTCTGTTTAAATGGCTGTATGATATACTTCATGTGTATTACTTAAGTAAATGAAAAACAAACTCCCTAAAAAGAAAAACTCTGACGTTTCTGTGACAGAATGCAATCCCTGTCTCGATCAGTTTCAATTTTTACTCCCGCATAAACTTGAGCCATTTTGAAAAGGACTTCTTTCAGCTTTTTGATGTTTTTTTTCTCCCTCTGTACTTTTCTACTCCCCTGTGTCTTCTGTCTGATTGTTCACTTTGAAGACTTTTTAATGTCTTGTGAATCATCCAGTAAAGTTTTGCAGCTCTGACGTCCTGTCTGCCTGTCTTCTCGCCCATCGGGGGTTCGTCTTGCTGAGTCACCAAAATCCAACAAACCGGTTTTATATCAAACAGGTGAAAACAGCAGCGAGGAAACAAACTCATTCATGTCGTGGTGGGGAGGTGAAAAGAAAAACAGAAAGATACTTAAGGGAGAAGATGAAAGAAAACAGGATGAGGGAAGAAGGATAGGTAAATAGAACAATATACAGAAATGTCTAAGTAGTAATTGAAAGGCGAGCGGCAGAGGCTTCCTCATATTTTCTGAATGAAGTTGGCTTGGAAAAAAAAAAATAGATGAAAGAAATGGGTAAAGGCTGGAACTCTTTAATTAAAATATATATTTAAAAGCTTAAAATAATTAATTACTTAAACTATTTCTTAAATATTCACAACTCCTGCAACGTAAACGAGTTTTAGCACGCCGTTTTAACTAAACGAGTCTTGCACTTCAAGGACACTGAACTTGAAACAAACAGCTGAGCCCATCCCTCTGTTAGCATGAGGTAGGGTGAACTGTGCTCACCGAATACACAAAACCTTTTAAGTACACAAAAAAAAAAATTACATTCACAAAAAGCCAGGCAAACAGGCTGCTTGACAAGATCAATGGAAAGCAGGTTATGTAGGATTTTGACGTTGCCCTGTCGTCGGGGAAACCGGCTTTGAAATGAAACTTCTCGTTCGGCAGAGCCACTGAGAGGGTGTGGCAGCGCCGTGTTAAAACAACCTGCAATAATGATTTAACATGCCACAGGGAATGACTACAATGAGGTAAAACACTAACGATAATAATGATTCAACCACTAAATCTTCCTTCTCCAAACTGGATCTTATACGTCATCATTCTGGGGACAAAGCACAAGCTAATCTGTTTTGTGCTACATGCAAGTAGTAAATAAATATTTTTAAGTATTATACTAGTACATATAATACTAGTAGTATTATATGTAGTTCTAATTATGAGGGGAAAATAATATTCTATTCTATTCTGGATTATTTTTTTATCTTTTCTTAGATGTGCACAAATACAAGCTCATGATCACCAGACAAGCAAATGAATTGGTTTGGTGCCTTCAGCCAAGCCCATGCAGCTATCTGAATACATAAAGCATATGGAGAGAAAATTGGGCAGGAAAAAAAAAAAAAGTTCAATAGTAAGCAGTGATATTTTCATGCCTGACTGCACAGATCCAACACCATACACACCCCTGTTAGTGTGCAGCTCAGGTTTCAAAGTTTGCTGAGCAGAGACTGCCTTTAGGTAATCTCTGTATGTTGACAATAAATATGAACATGACTCTGTGTGTGGGGGCTTTAAAGACACACCATGTGTCACACGACTGTGGGAGTTTTCGTGTCCGTCTCACCTCGCTTTCCTTGCTTTCGTATTTGTTGGCATTCTTGCCTTGGCTCTTCCTCCTCAGCTTTTTCAGGTCCGCCTGGGACTTCTCCAGAGAATCCTGCTTCATCTTGTGCTCCATCTGGTACCTCTTGAATGTGGCCTAAAGCAGAGAAATGACTCATGTGAATGAGTGGTGGAACAGGAAACTAGTGATATTTGTCACAAAAATAAGAAATATTCTGCTTCTAAATATGAGTGGGCCAGTCTTAACCCTGCAAAGTCAACACTTTAAGACCTCTAAAGTAGCATGTTGTTCTATTCATATACTTATTACTTTGAATGAAATGCAAGAGATGGTGACATTTTCTGGTTTCTTTCCCCACATGTTGCTTTGAGCTTTCAGTCTACTACAGTGAACTAGAGCCCCTGCCAGATTCTCCAATTCTAGCAAAAACAAGTTAAACATTTGAGCTAGATTTGTGTAACAAACATTTCTCTTTGTAATACTATCACTTCAAAGATATTTATTAAGGTTTAAAGGGCAGGTCTTCAAAGGTGATCCAGTCTCCTTCACATTCCCCAACTCAAACGTAAACGGCGTTAATGATTTGTGCTCCGTTTGTGCAGACTTGTGCCACCATAATTTAGGATATATGAAAATGTGTTCATCTCTGTGAGATGACCTTTTAATCCTTTAAAATAATTCCAAATTCTGGTTGCATAAAGAAAAAGCTTTACGGCACAAATCAGAACAAATCATGGACACTATTTTTGTTTAAGTCGTTTAAAGGTAAGGAGACTGATTCTCCTGTCATGATCTACTTTTAAATTGTATTAGTATCTTTAAAATCACAGCAACACAAAGCTTTACTCTACAAATCAGCTCAAACCTACATAGTAATAATAGGATAACAGGGGAATCCCCAAAAGTTTTCTCCATATTGAAACGGGAGCTACATTTCATTATCCACAAAATCTCCACAAGAGTGCAAATTGTTGCTTCCTTAAAGTAGCACCGTTTTTAAATACAACATTTCCAACAAGCTACTAGCATGCCTATTGGGAGAATAATTCACCTGCTGGAAGCTTGCTACTGAGCTGACTAACCCTTAAAGTTAATTAAATCAGCATCCTCTTTGTTAACCTCCCAATGTCAGACTATATTCTCCCAGGCCTACTTCCAGGTAAACAAGATTAAGTGTTAGAAAGCATTACAGTTTGACTTTGTTATACACACTGTATATAGTAACCAACTTCCAGTACAAATTTGTTTCCCAATTTATAAGTGTTCATTATTGTTGTTTTATTTGATTTTTTTTCCCTGCTTTTATTTAGCCAAACATTGGCCAAAATTAAGGTAGACCTGAATATTAACCCTTTCATGCCTGAATTATGATCCTTTGTGTCAAAATTTTTTTTTTTTTTTTCGTAAGGCTTAAAAAAAGGTAGGGAAAAAAAATTGTAAAAAAATATTTATTATTTGGAGAAAATTACAAATTACAAAGTTGTTATCTGAAAGATACATCAGTAGTATTGTTCTTTAGAGGTTATCTAATGTCACAATATTTTTTTACCTGTAAGAGTCATCTACAGTAGGAGGGACCGGGTCGGTTGGGACGCTTTTTTATCTGTCGGCCATATTGGATTTAACAAAAATAATTTCTTGCACTTGCAGCTGATGGCCAGTAGTTGATTGTGTGTTTTATAATGATTTAGTGTCCACTTCAGTGGTCTGTGTGCATTTATAACATAAAAATCCACAAGAAGCACAAGAAAATGGCTTTTAGACAGCTGTCCACTGTAGTGGCCACTATACATGAAAGGGTTAAAAACTCCAGACTTCAAAATCACAAAAATGTAGCTTCAAACCTTTCCTATGGTTCAAATAACTTCATAGAAAGTCCAGGATTTTCTCCATTTGTATACAATTTTGAATAGCGTCCCCTTCCCCACCTGTTGCTGCAAGTAAGTTAAGGTCAGCAGATAAATATCCAAGCCATGGCTGTGAGTAGAGAGAAAAGTTTGAAGCTAACAACAATAGATAGCATGCCTGCTAATAAACAAACCACTACAGCCTAACCCTATGTAGCATAAGACTCCCAATATCAATCTAGAAATAGTCCATTTTTACTTTCCAAGTAAAAATATCAAATATTACAAAACAATGTATTTAATTTTCAATTTTTTTGGCAGATTTTAGATTTTTACCAAACATTTGGTTGATTTCAAAAAGTCTTTTTCCATGGTTTTAAAAAGTCACAATTTTAATGCAACGTAGCGCTTCCCCAAACACTTGCAACAAACTATAAGAGCTAGCGTGCCTGTCCGCGACAATAAATAGCTTACTGTAGTTCTGCAGCCAAACAATATAACCTGATTAATTAACCAGGTTACATCAGTTTATCGATTTTATTACTCATTGCTTTCAGTGAGGTTTCCAGCTTTTATTTTCAACAAAACGTTGGAATTTTGATGCCGCGTTGATGTTTGCTCCTGGTTCTTATTAACTGGCTTCAAATATGTCAGCAGACAGACAAGACTTGTTTTGCTGCTGGATAAATGGAATCTCATTTGTCCTTTGTGTTGTGTTCCTGAGATAACCCACTTTGAATTAATTATCCTCTCTGCAGTCATAATTATAGCTAGGAATTGCTACATGTGATCAGATTATGGTGGCGACTAAAACCCTCGCATTTATTTATTAATCCTCTTTAGCTGCTCATCCTGTCCTTGATCTCCATTATCAGAAATATGAAATTCCTCCCCCATTACATTCTGTTGGTCTATCCTCCATTTTGTCACAATGCAAATCACAATAATATACTTCTACATAAAAGTGTGTAAGGCTGCAAGAAGGAACGAAGCTGCCTTTACGTTAATGACTTGCACATAAACACAGAAAGTACTTACTGTCATGTATTTGACATCCATGTCAGTCTTCCTCTCCAGTTCTGCTATTATCTCCCTGTGGAACCTCTTAAACTTCAGGTGAAGAGGAGGAGGGGGGGGGACAAAAAAAGAAAGTTGATTATTGAGCTGACAGAAGCGTGAGGGACTGACTTTTCAACTTTGCTGTCAACTACAACAGAACGTGCAATCTCAGAGAAAAATGGAAAGTGATCATTATGGAGTGCATTGGTGAGTGTCTGCGGGGGTGAGAGCCAAGTCCAAGGTTGTGCTTATGAATGAGTCAGAAACAAAGCGTGGGAATGCCCATAGTCCTCCATCACATCCTCCCCTTCTCTGCAGCTCTCATTTATCTGCAGGTGTCGATGCCTTCGTCGAAGCCTTGTTGCGATGCGGCGACAGCTCCCGGGGAAACATTATCATATGCATAACATGCAGCATCAAAGCACCAAGAAGGTTTTCTCCAAGTTAAACTGAGGCTTTAACTCGCAAGCTGGAGTTTATTAAGAAGAAAACCCACCCACAGGTTCTGCTGGTAACACTGTCTCAGAGGACTCCATCGCATCTTTTCTGCCCTGAAGTTCATCTTTAATGAGATACACTCTCAAACCGGTGCAGTTTATTTCTTAAAGAAAAACAACTGTCATGTGACAACGGAAGAAAACAGGATGGTCTCACTAATTAATATTTCCACAGTTCTTTAATATTATAAACATCACCATCAATGCACAGCGATATAGCGTCACATTTTTACATGTTTAAATTTTCCTGACGGTTTTCCCGTATGGAGTCAGGAGATGTTGCCAACTAAAATATGAAGTAACACATTACTTTGATTAAAAAAGCACTTAGAAACAGCATTATGTACAAAAATCACATGTCTACATTGCAGTCTTGGCTAGCTACATGCAAAAAAAAAAAAAAAAACACACACACAAAAAAACACATTAAGCTGAAAACTTGAGGTCTTCCATAATGGAAAATATTGATAGAGGGTTGAAGAATCTAAATACAAGATACTTTAAACCTTTTTACTCTTGGTAATTTGACACGTATGGACACAGATTCACCTAAAAAAAATTCCTTTTCATATAGTCAGAATGTTTTGTTACTGTAACTCATTTCATTAAGTGAAGAAGAAATATAAAGACAGAATGTATTGCAACATTTATTTTAATTATTACAGCTTAAAACATAATTCAGTCTCAAAAGACTAAAATATTTTTTTCTTACAGGAGTCATCCCCATTCTTTTATATTGCATAACAACATTTCTGTACACTTGTTTTTTAGAAAGCATTCAAATGGACAAATGATAAATGCATAAACACAAAAACAAAGAGTAGTGGCGAAGGGATGTTTTGAAATGAATATGTATGTTACTAGGTCCAAGCAAGCTGAATCGCAATGACAAACTTACGGAAAAACACCAGGGGGTGAATCAGCCATGACACATTCGGATATATCAGAGGGAAGCAGGGCATGTGCAGATGCAAGGTTAATGAATCTCCATGCAACAGCTACAGCTGATGTTTTTCCAGAGCTTGTTTAGACTTGCCTTTGTACTCAAAGAAAAAAAAAAAAAAACAGCTCTCCTCGTCGTTAAACCACTTTACATCTCAGCTGCCCGTGCGGCTACTGGACATGTAGGTGGGGAAGGAGGCGAGGTATTTTCTATTTATGGGTGTAGAAGAAAGAACTACCGGTTGAATGCGTCAGAAACAGCATGTTGCTGTGGAAATATACCGAGCAACAGGTTTGCAGAGTGAGCATGTCTGACAAAATGCTCTAGGGTTAGGTAACAATCATGGAGCGATCAAACAGCAGCTATTTAAACGGGAAATCTGTGGAAACATCTGTGGAACTTACATTTTCCTCCATCTCAAGTTGAGCCTTCCTGTGCACCTCGGAGATTTCTACCAGCACTGCACCTGCCAGACGAAAATAAATACACAGGTTAATGTCAGGAGGCTCGCTTTTCCTGCTTGCTTTTTTCATTCAGTCCTTCCTGCTTTATAACCTAAAACTTCTTTAATCTCGCTGTACAACCACAACAATGTACAGAATGTAAGGCAACAAAGTGAAATGAGTAACTTGTAGTTATAAAGAAATCTTATGCCAATGAGCCCAAAGGTGTAAGGGCTAATTATGTTTGACATCAAAGGAAAGGGATACCAGAAAAACTCAACCACCTGCTGGTAATGTAATCTAAAACAGCTTTGGAGTCAGGTTGGAGTCCCCCCGTTGTTGAAAGGGGTGCAGGTTGGAGTCCCCCCGTTGTTGAAAGGGGTGCAGGTTGGAGTCCCCCCGTTGTTGAAAGGGGTGCAGGTTGGAGTCTCCCCCGTTGTTTGAAAGGGGTGCAGGTTGGAGTCCCCCTCTCTTTATTTATTTATTTATTTTTTTGATGAGGTACCCATAAGGGCAGAACTTCGACTCAGCAGGAAATTTAATGTTTTTTGAATTTTGATTCAATGTTGCATGACTCTGTGTTTTTGTGTTTAATGATGTAAAGCACTTTGAAATGCCTTGCTGCTGAAATGTGCTATACAAATAAAATTTGATTGATTGATTGAAGGCAGCCTTCCTGCTGATTTGCGTCTGTTTTAACAATCCAGTCAGACCCTCTTTGGTCCTGGATAATATGGCCAACAGATTTAGAAAGTCTTTATCAAAGAGTCATGAGTTTAGCCGTTTCTGCACAGCAAGGGATTGCTGTAGGCATTACAAGAAGAAGAATAGTGAATCAATAAAGCTAAAGCATATACCGTAATCCCCGTTGACTAGAAAACTGTAGTTTGTTCTACTTTTGGTGAAATTAAGCTAAATGTCAAGTATATTCAGGGGTTTATTTCTTTATGCCTCTACAGGAAATCAAACAAGATTTATAACTACCACAAGACTATTTGGTTCACGCTTTTCTAATAGGTTTACAAACTGCTGTGCTAAACTATCCACACACCAAAGACACTTTCTTTTTTCTTGTGACGGCCACAAACTGCGAGGTAACAGAGATTTTACACAACAGACCAAAGCAAGTGTATAAATGTTTAAAGAAAAAAAAATAAATAAATTTTAGGACTGTTTATATAAAAACATCCAAAAACAGAGGAAAAGATTTTTTTGAAAAGACATCGCAATTTACTTGTGTACCACCAAATAAAATCAACGATGATCAATTCTATTTGAAACCAGTACATTTTAATACTAAAATTTATTTTTTGTATTTTTTGCAAAGGCCTCTGTAGTTTGTTAGAAAGAATTAGTGAAAAAAAAGAGAATATAATACAAAAGAAACAGCTTTTACTGTCCCACAAAGTAAAAGCTGGAACAGCAGCAGCAGAAATAATAAAGGTTTAATGTGACCCTGATGAGAAAACAATGAAACAGTTCTTGAAGCTATAGTTTCTGATTTACAGTGAACAAAATGACATTATTTCTATTTTTGGAAATCTAGATACATGCATTTCACTTTTACAATTCATTCCAAATTTCTTTCAAAAACATCTAGACTAGATTATAGTAGATTAAATCTAAGTGATTACACCTGCACTTCAATGCCTTGTTTGACTTCTAAGATTAACCTAGTTGATGCATCTTCTGTCATGTTTACAGCCCAGAGGTAAAATAACTAAAAAGCCAAAAAAAAAAAAAGCAATAAAAATTATTGGTTAGTAGGTCAAACATCAATGAGTTGGGGGGGAAAAACCTACTTTTATATTATTTAATAAGTTATGGAGTCTGGAACCTCACACTTTTTGGGGGAAAATTTTTAATTAGATGGCAGAATTTTCAAAAATGAACAGAACATTTTCCTCACTGTATACTTCAGCAACAGTATGTAGATGTAAACATGGTGCAATAACTGGGTAGATATTTTTTAAAAAAGCCCTTGAGAAAGAGACTGAGATCTAAGAAGTAGTAAATTATTTTAACTGAACAAAATGACAGAAAACCCAGAAACAAATGCACAATCCTTGACATCAATTGTATTTGCTGCCAGGTGAACAGATAACCATGAGCTGTAAATGCATCAGTATGTAAACAGTGCACTTCCTTTAGCTGTCAAACCACACCTACCCCGTTCCACCTTCCCTTATGGTGGGACTGGCTGTCAGAGTTCAGTCTGGTAGAAAAAAAAAGATTTTAAAAGAACAGGAGCTGACAGGAATGCAAAGGCTGTGTTAAGATGTTAGGTGAAGGGAGAAAAAGAGTGTTAAAGCAGTATATGTAGTAGGAATGAAAATTGTTAGGAAATGAGATGAGACAAATGTTAGAAAAGAACAGGAAAAGTCAATACCACATGACAGGTTTTGATGGATTAAAAGTAAACCAGCAATAAATCACTGCTAAAGCTAGAATACACCTGACATTAAAATTCTCCCAAAAAAATGTGAGCAGGTGCGGTTTTGAGTCAAATACCAGACAAACAGGTTTTTATGCACAGCACGAGAGTCTGTTGTCTGTTGTCCAAGTGATGAGCCGGAAATCTAAGCAGCGATCTGTCGGGAGATGCTTGAAATTACTCACGGCGTAGAAAAATGACTTGGTTTCAGCAACGTCACTGCCGCCGACAGCCTCATTCCAGAGGGCCCCACTCATATGTTTACTGTTGTCACGATCGGCACCAAACGTTGCCAGGAAACAGGTGTGCTCAAATCAGCGAGTTTGTGAGGGCGAAAAGTGTGTCATGATGACAGGGCGCCAAAAGCAACCCACCACCATTAGCTAACAAAAACATCAGAAAATACAGAGGGCGACAAACCCACACGGCTCAGACAGGTTTCCTGAAGGCTTGTTTGCCCAGGCAGTAAAAACAGGGCTTGACTTTGTGGAGCAGTTTGATAAAAATCTAGTTTCTCATGAATGAAGTGAACGAGTCGTTTGTTCAATAGAAAAAAAAAATCTAAAATGTGTCACAAAGTAATAATTCTTCCTCCTGGAAAGGGAATCTTTCCGTATGAGGTCATCGTTTTTAGCTAAACCAACAAGGCTCCATTTTTAAATACCGATAAAAACAGTTACACGATAAATGTAACTGGCACATTTTTAGCTTGAATTTAGTCTTTAGTTTTTTGCTTCCATGGGGAACATGTGAAGGAAGACACAAAGAAACAAGAAATTCAAGTAAGACAGATGCGTGGAGATAATCCTAATTCAGGAAACTGCTGCAAGAAAACTCTGTTCACATCTACAGAATAGTAACTGGAAAAGATTAAAGCAAGACAAGGAGGACAGCAAGGAAGAAACATAAAATCAAAATCTGAAGAAGCAGTCTTGTTTCACTTCCAGATGCAAAATCATAACAAAAAATAAAATAAAATGAAACATTCTTTCATAACTTTGGAAAATCTTAAGCAGGGCTCTCCATTTTCAGTTACTGAACTGCAACCTTTTCCTACTTTAGCCTCCGACATTATGCTACCATAATGTAGGATTAGTGTAATGCTTTAGACACACCTTTATGAAGGGTACCAATGTGTGCAAACAGCACTGTAGATGAAAAACCAGATAACACTCTAACAGGTAAAAACAACAATAACAAGTTTCCTTGGTTATAAATAAACTCCCTCCTTTCTTTCAGCTGATTTTGATGACACCAGTAGAATGTGAAAAGGGAAACTGTTCTTCTACCATTTCTGACTGTAGACAAAATAATCCTCACACCAGTGAAAGTCACGTGACACACCATGCAAACATGTTAGGATTATGTAAAAATGCACCAGGTACTATTTAAACATTGGGCATCATGTGTTTTTACTGAATGAGAATATTATCACACTTTTTGTCACAACTAGATGGAACTACAAACTGAAGTAATGAGGTAAAGCAGTGAGCTGAAAACTGATAAAAAAGAAAGAAGATCCCCTTGGAATGAAACTGAGCAGCAGTGTGGATAAAGTTAGCTTTGCATGGATAACAAGAGTGAAGCGTTTAACTAAAACTTTCAGTAAACTTAAAATTGTGATTTAGTGAAAACTGCGAGGGATTAAAAAGCTCAATCATTTCATTGTGGCCAAATGTTTGGTTTAAACTTTGAATTGAGTTTTGGCAGAAGTAGTTAGCCTTCAAAGAGCACAAAGTATTTGGTTAAATTGACAAGGCAATCCAATTCATTTGTAACTAAATATAAAACAACCCAACATCTACTGAATTTTGTAAGTGATGAACAGTTGAAAACTGAGTTGGTTGCCGAAGAACTACAACCAAATCCCAATTCATTTCTACATGAACCTAAACAACTTTCTGCTGCCTTGTGAGAGGTCAGATGATTATGCAAATGTTGGGTGTGACAAGAGTCGGAGGTAGACTAATTATAAGGAAGAAGGTAGCAGGATAAGGTGCAGAGGTCCTACAATTTCTTTCAAGAGTATCTGGTTTCTGGCGATGTGTCAGTGGAGCTCGGGTTTCTGACAGGGCAGCTGCTCTACATCCATGAGCAAGTTCCTAATGACAATGTAGACACTCTCTTATTTACATACATTACTGCTCTTAGGAGTCTGAAGACGTCACATCCACATCACAAAGCATCTGGTTTTACAGTCAGCAATCATTAGATGACATTCAACTCGGTGTTTATTCACCACCTTCCTAAATAATCCAAAATTAATGACAGACAGGAATGATCCATTATGGCAGAACAGTATGACTCTCTCTGTGGTCCTGGAGTTTATCCACACATAAAATGTGACTTTAACCCTTCAAATGTAAATAGTAAGCCAACCATGTGTTGATGATGCATATGGTAAATTATAAGATCTAAAACATAAAAGGTAAAGCTGCATATCTGAACATCCGATTACTAAATAAAACCTCTGTTTGTTATTTAGTTATGAATAGTGAGCAGTTTATGCCCCTTCAATCACAAACCATTACTATTCAAAGCATTAAAGAGAAATAATTTCAGCAGCTCTCAATAGCAACTTCTAATACAATTCTAGTGCAAGTCCAATAGAATGATTTACACTAAAGCTGAGAAGTAAGGCACACATACATGCTGCACTTTCTGAGAAATGACTAACTGAAGAAAACAGCTCGCCAGTAACCCTCCACCATCTTGGACTGCAGCTGTCGCTGCAATTCTTGTTCAACATCATGCCAAGTTTGGTGGAGTGACACATTAACCAATTCTAAAAATGCCAGAGGCAACAATTGGTGAGAAGTTGTGGACAATTCGAGTTAAAATTCAGCAGCTGACGCCAACAGGTGGTTTTCAATAAACATCCAAATATAAAACCACATAAACCATCTTTAAACCAGTGTTAAGATGCTAGCAACTACATCCAACCACTTTTGATATGAATATTTTTACCACTTGTGCTTTAACTAGCTGTTTTGGGGATTCATACTAACTTTTTTGTGCTAAATTAATAAATGTTTCTGTTTTGCACCAGACAGAATCTGGCAAACGCAGGAAATTATAGCAATGTTGTAGCATAAATACAGCAAGCAAGAACTGCAGCTATCCAGAAAAAAAAGCGGTCTACAAACCAAGTAACAGTATAAAGACGTTTTTTTTCTAACTATGCCAGGAAACAGAAGAGCAACAGGTGGCTCTTTCCAATGTGCTGCAGAATTTAATTAGCAGTTTAGCTCTAAAACCGCAAGGGACAAGAGAGGCATACAGTGGCTACATCAAAGCGTGTCACTAGTGACAGTGAGTTAGGATCCCAGTCGTGTCTGGCTGCATATCAGCCAGTGGGAAGGTGAAGCTTGGGAATTTGACCGGGAACAAATTGAAGACTAAACAAACTCTGTTTACTAATAAACCTTTCACACTCAGCCATAAACTTTAATATTAAGCATCACTCATCATGTGCTTTCACTGCAGTGCAGCTTCGCTTCTGCACTGGTGGCATTTGTCATAAATTTAGACTCATGTGTGTTCAAGCTTTTAACCGATACTATTCCTACCACGCCCCAGTAGGAAACTCTGTAAAATCTAGCACACACAAGACCTGAAATGTAAAATAAATAAATGAAAATACTTTAAATATTTGTCAATCTCTTAGCCAAAAATGTTCAAAGCAAGAGTTTCAAGACACTATGACAACTTTTTACTCAAAAAAAAAAAAAAAAAGTTGACAGCACAATTTTATGAACAATAAGGTGCCTGTAAAGTGGAACACATTTAAACACAAATTCAGTAAAAACACCTTGAACACTGATTTTCCTCTGCATACACTCAGAAGCCTGACTTTAATTAACCAAGAGGCTCCACATGTGGTGTGTGTGTGTGTACCACGTCTCCAACATTGTGCGTTCGCTGCTTTTTCTTTGACTTCTGCAACCTAAGCAAAGAAGCTAATGGAGGATGGGAGACGCTCTACTCCCCTCCACAACAATCAAAGGGGTCTGTGAGCAGCATCTCGCAAACAGAATGACTCTGCACAACCATGGAACTTCCTCATGCATTTTTAGCGGCAAGCAGACACAAGCATCTATGGATTTATTTTCTTCTCAATTGCAAATTTAAAAATGCTCTTCTTGTTTTTTGTTTTTGTCAATATGGCCGCCCGACGCAAAATCCAGACTATCCAGAAAGTTGTTGGTGAAAACACAGGCAAATCGGAAACCAAATTTAAGGCATATAATCATACTGGCCACAAAGGCCACATCTCTTCCCACTCCACAAACGTGCAAATTTGGACTTTCCAAGGGAGAACCCAACATCGACATTGAAAAATGAAAAAGCTATATTCTATGATGAGGAAAAAACAAACAAACAAAAACAAAAAAAAACAACATTGACTTTTTTCTTTAGCCTTCCAACATTTCATGTATAACAAGAAGACCCCACTGAAGAAGCTTTAGGCACAGAAATAACCAAGTCTGGTTTGTGTAGGGTTGTCATCTGTGCAGTGATCACTGGGTATTTCAACAAGAAGATGCTGCAGCTAATCAGTGAAAATGTTTTGTGTTTGATGGCAAAGGAGATTTACAAAAAGCTAAAGTTTCAGGCTATTAAATCCAGTCACTTTCACCATTTGAAGCACTGTTGCAACAGATCTACTGGAAACACTTCCATCGCGCATGTCTCCTGTTATGAGGCTATGGTTTTAAACTCATCTCCTCTCTTTTTGACATAAAAATTCAGAAACAAATTTTGCCTGTTAAGGATTTGAAAGATCCTTAAAAGAACTGCAATAAAACAGAGAGTCAGAGATAGAGAGATATAGATAGAGAAAGATCTTCACTGTGTAAAGATTTTCCCCGCTAATCCCAGAGGAGAGCAACGTAGAAACTTACCCAAATCTTTGGAGACAGGAGATCCAGCAGCGTTCTCTCCAATCTTAGACAGTGCATCAAAATACATCTTTCCTGCCATGGACATAGCTGGGGAAATGATAAAAATGTTAGTGGTTGAAGGCTACAGAAAAGATGTAGATGTATTGCATTTTCTTAAATCAAATCCCCAATAGTTTATCAGTGTACCAGAAAATGCAGTAAAAAAAGCAAAAACCAGCAACTCACCATTAACAGACTTCTCATAGCTCTTTCCCAGGTTCACCAGGTTCCTAAGGCCTGGGTTGAACTGTTCCATCACATTCTGCAAGAAGACAGGAAGACAGTGACCATAAGAAAGAAAGTGTCATTATACAGGAGCAACAGGAGATGGAAATTAAGAAGCTCATACAAAAATACGTTTTTGAATGCAGATCCAGGTTTTTATTTGGCAAGGCCGTTAAATATCTTGTATCTTGCAATTTTATGTTGGTCCAGATGCAGCAAAGTAATCATGTCTGGATCAGCCCAACTTGTTCAGATTAGGTGTCTCATTATTAAGTATCAAAATAAGCATAGTCATATCTAATTATATTGCAAACTAGATATGTGTCCGATTAAGAAGTCGCGTAACGTGACCAAAGGATTAACTGGTTTTAGCAAAGTTTGAAAAGCTAGATGGCTGCAAGGATGAATGGGTGGAGATAATAATAGCAAGATGATTGGACAGATGAATGGACTAGATGAATGTACTGATCTATAGATATCTGGGTGCACAATAGTGGATATTGGATCATAGTTATTGCAATATCAATAGGAGGAACACTGACATCATGTAGAACTAACCGGATGCAATATGTGGTAGGTTATTATAGTTGAAAAGCAAATGAATCATAACAATAATGTGCATGTCCTGTTTAAATGACATTCCTAGTTTTGGCCCTCAATGCCAAAACTAGATCCATACAATCAGTGGCGAGATGCTGTACCTCACTGAGTGGTGGGGGCGTTATAACGGAGGGAAAGGAGAAAAGAGCCAGGAGGAAACTGTGGGTCAATCGTAATTATTATCACCAACATACTATTCAACACAATTAGCTATTTTCTTGATGGCGTGCAGCCCAAATTACCAGTTTGTGGGAGAATAAATGTACTGTTCTATGAATGGATGGATGTTAAATAGATTCACACACTACTAGTAAACAGTATCCCAAATATTTTGTGTTAAAATACTCATTTGAAATTTATTTCAGTTCAGTTCACCTCTATAGCACCAAATAGATATCATTTTAAGGCACCTACCATAAATGAAATGCTGGTTTAGCTGTAAACCCATGTCTACAAATGATCCAACCTCAGTTAAGCCCAGCAAGTCACCCACTGCAATCAATGTTTCATGAGTCATGTAATGATCACCCAATTCAGATTCACGCCTTAAAGTCAGGAAATGACATTTAAGATAAAAATGCATCACTCAGATTATGAAAAACGTGAGGGATTATAGAAGCCACAATCTAATTTATGAGCTTTTTATAATTATGCTTTTAACTTTCTAACATCAGTTAAATGAAAGATAAGCTGTTACTCTGAGAAACTTTTGACATGTTGCGAAATGTGTGAACCTTCACTTAATTTCACAGCAAAACCATATAATTTCAATACCCGTTATGAGAACTTTGTTACCATTAACTGTGAACGAGAGGTGATGGCTGCTGAGGAGCTCGCTGTATAATCTTACCACACAAAACGCACAGGCACCTAAATTATTAAACCTGGAGTCTTTCCCCTGTATTTCACCACTTCAATGAGCTGCGGGGGCTGTCCTAACAAGAGGCCAGGCAAGTAAAAGCTGTTCAAAAGGACTGAAGACTTATAAGAAAAGCCTCGAGTCTGCGCCCCCCCTTCGCTCCAGCTCTTTATAGTCCTTCACTTGGCTACCTGTGGAGAGTCGCATGCAGAGTGCAAGAACTGGCAACTGTTAATGGGCTTTTTTATGCCAATCTCGTACCTTTATTATTATTCTAAAGCCTTTTTTTTTTAAAATGGATGCAATAACAATCTTTAAAGAAAATACGTTTAAGAGGAATTCTATATGAACAACTTTATGCTTAATGGTTGCACTGCAAATCCCCAGTCAACATGTGTATGCGAGTTTTGCTCACAGTATGGAACCCAATTGAGCTGACAAAATGCATAGTGGCCACTTTACGAAGCTCTTTTCTCGACCCAGTATTAAGAAAAGCTGCTTACATCAAGCAACATATTTAGGCCTCATTGTACTCAAGGCGTTCTGTGTCAAACTTCCAATCCAAATTAATTAAAACGACAACTGTAAAGTTTGTTTATTTCAACGATTTAATTCTCAAAGTGACACATAAGATATGGATTTGTTAGGCAATTAATTTGTGATGACTTTTGTAGCCCACGGCCTATAAGTACTTCTGTGTGTGGTGGCTGGTAAAGCATTTACCCCAGCCACAGCATCACACCTCAGGAAACTCCCCTAACATCTTGTATGGGCTTTGCTGCATAATCCTATAGCTAACTCAACTTTTTTCTGCCACACTTCTTCCTTTCACTAAATTTTCCATTAAAGTGTTAGGACACATCACAACCTATTCAGCTCTTTTGTTGCTTTTTGTGTTAGTCATTATCTGCTGAGCAAACATTGGTTTTTTATTCAAATTTTTTGGGTTGTGTCATAACATTACACTTTGCTGACTAAGTTTTTTGTAATAGAGTTACACTCTAAAACTGTGTCTTTGTGTATGTGTTACATTTATTATTTTTTTTTTTTGAAGAAACCATTTTACCTCTATTTTATACAAAATAATTTCTTAGGATAACTTCAATAAATACAATACGTTTTCAATTACACACTAATTTATTTAGATGAGTCCACACAAACAAGTTATATGTAGATCCAAAATGAATCAATTGTCGGAGCCACATGTTGGCCGAGATAAGGATGATACTTTAAAGCAACTCTTTTCTAAGGAAACAATACAAACGGGGTGGAGCCAGCTCCTCAAAACCAGTGATTCAACTCTCCAAAAACCAGCTTTCTGAACTCAGGCAAAACCTGTTGGAAAAACTCTTTAGAAGCGTCTAAATACTGTAAGTTAAAAAATGCAGAGATAAACAGGCTGCTAAGGGAGCTAAGAATATTTGAAAATGTACATAATGCTACTTAACAGATCTTTTAACAATTTATCTTAATCTATACAAGTTCCAGTAGGGGGAAGAAAAAAAAACTCTTTCCATGTTCAATTTGCTTTTAAAATGAGCAATACACTTTTAATTAGTTAACACCTGTTCAGCTTTGCTGTGCTCCATGTCTGTTTAAGTATGGAGGAATTTTCTCCCCCGTGGTCGCACCTGTTGTCTTCCCAGCTTCCCATCTAAACCAGCAGCCATACCTTGTATGTACTTTCGGCGAGCTTGTTCGCCTCATCCACCTTGTTCGACATCTTTATCCTCCTCTCGACGCCCGGATAGATGAAAAAAAAAAAACAGAGGTTTTCCTCGAATTTATTTCTCAGACGCTACACCAACGCGAGCCAAAAAAGGAAAGAAGGAATCCCAGGAGGAGAAGTGACCAAAACCTACGGATGTATAAAATCCCTCATAGCCCACAGGAAACGCCGGACGCACACATGGCGACAAAAATAAGACAAAACCCGTCTTCAGTGGGAGAAAAGTGCAATTTTTCTGTCGTTACCACTGCTGCTCGGTACTAAAAGGCTGAGCTGTCAAACTTGTTGTAGGTGGTTAGTTCACAGAAGGGGAGGAGACCTGCGGAGGGAGGTATTATTAGCCTATTTTAACCCTTAACTGTTTTTGTAAGAATCTTATGAAACTTCATAATGATTATTTATTGCCACAATGTCAGATAGCATTTTAACTTTTTACTGGAAAATGCTTCTTGATTTCATAATAAACCCATGTCACTTTAAAATTTCGGGGGGAGGTTTGAATTTATTTATTTATTATTATTTTACCCTCGTCGTATTTTATGTAATTTTAGTTTGAAACGCGGTTCAAACCATCGTAGAAATATTTTTGACTGATTTCCACACCTTTAGTTGATCTTACAATTTTGCTCAATCATCTGTTTAACGATTAGCTAAAGATTTAGTATTGCTAGCCTTAGCTTCATTTGTAGCATTTTTGTTTGCTTTCGATACATTTTTGTATCCATTGTTTGCATATAGCTTTACCTATCTGACGGGCTGCACAGAAGTAGAAAATAGATAAACTATGGGCCACGGGCGCCCCCTTGAGGCAGGTTGCACATACATAGACACCAATGGTGGATATGAAGTGCCCTCCAAAAGTAGTTAAACCCTTTTCATGTTTACAACTACATTTTTGTTACTAGATTTTTTTTTTTGTCAAATCTTAAAAGTCTGCCGTCCATATTCATTGCAATTGCACAACAACTAAAGGCACCACCTAAGAGTTTCCCACTTAATAACTTCATTTCAGCTATTGACAAGTTATTCAACATGATCAGATCGTGAGTGGCTGCTCCTTTCTAAAACTGCTATGGTGTAAAGCAAATCTCGTTGTTCTGGAGAGGATGTTAAACCAAAAGGGTCATATTATTGGCATGCTTCAAGAAATGTTAAATGTCTTCACAAAAACCGTAAGGTTTGTGAGGAGTCATTTTTTGCAAAAGAAATGTGGTCAGATAAAAACAATGAATGATTGTATGACGTGAATCTTGAATAACTTAAAAGGTTTGGTGAAATAAAAAAAATAATAAAAAACACCATGGATATAAACAAAAGTGAGAGTGTTCTGCATTCACAATACCAAGAAAACTTAAGGGATTAGGCCTAAAGAGCCACTGATCAGAGAGGTTAATTGGAAATAGGTTTCAGTTTCCTCAGGAGCATAAAAACTGGACTTTGGAGCAATGGCAGAAGGTCATGCTGTCTGATGAGTTTAGACTTACAGCAATGCAGAGAGACTGACACATCAGGGTAAGAAGAGAGGCAGATGAAATGATGCTTCTGCCTATTTTACAAGCCTGTGGTAGTAATGGTATTAAATGGGGTTTGATGATATTGGTTAAGCAACATTATGTGCCCAAAGATTGAGCCTGAGAATAACCTGGTGAATGACCAGGTTATTCCAACAGTGATTTTTTTTTCTTTACTATTGCTTTTTTGTTATTTTCCCCAGGATGTAAATCAAGAAGGTTTGTTGGATTTGCTGATCAAAATATAATGATCTACCACTAGATGTCCCTCACAGTCAAGTCAAGACAGGTTTCATAACCGATTGATTTTTTTTTTAACCAATTCTTTACATGGGTTTTCTTTTATATATATATATATATATATATATATATATATATATATATATATATATATATATATATATATATATATATATATATAGAGAGAGAGAGAGAGAGAGAGAGAGAGAGAGAGAGAGAGAGAGGCACATTGCCTGTGTTGCTGTCATTCAGATAAACTTAGTATTATGACACTGTAATGCCAACAGTTTCAGTAAATCCCCCATTAGACCATCCTAAATTAACATAAACTGTATCCGAGCATTCAACAAATCAAACACCAAGGATTTGTAAATATCATGTGTTGCAACTGTGAGAGCAAATATGCCAAGGCCTTACTTTGTAAATGTCATTGCGGTTTAAAACTTTGGAAAGCGCTCGGCTGCCGTCGGGGGGCTTGCCGAAGCAGCTGAATGCAAAATGAGACTGTACCCTGAGGCTCTGAATGTCTAGTGCTGCTCCCCCAGCTTTCAAAATGCTGCTAAGTGGCACACACAGAGTAATTAGTCTCTAAAGCTCCAACGCTAGTGTTAGGCCTAAGTTTCTTTTCCTCTCTTATTGGTATCCTTTGCATTGTGTCTGTCTTGACGACCTCCCACCGGGTTGATGTAAATCGATACAAAAGGAATGTAAAGCTAAGAGGAAAAAAAGGAAAAAGCATTTATAACCAGTTGCATCTCTCAAGGACAAAGAAAAAAAAAATTCACAGATACAAGCTATGTTGTCATTCAGCTTGATTTGGTCAATCTGTATATAAGATCTCAGGGGATGTAACTCATTAAATTGATTGCAACGTTTAATGAGAGTTGGAATTCATGTAAATCAATTGAAGTATGCTGCCTTGAAAAGTATTTACCACACAAATAGCGAAGTAGATAGTAAACATAAACAGAAAATGGCTGTGGGGATAATTTTCTTTAACAAAGAAAGGAAAGCTGGTTGGAAGAAAGAATATTTGAGACTGAAAAGCAGTTGATAAAGTTGAGGTTCAGCTTCCAACAAGAAGCACAGTCATATAGTCAGAGTGACAGTGGAAAGTTAAGACTGATAATAATAAAAAAAATCACTGCACAAAACCAAACCTACAACCTTTTCATTACAAGGTGAATACTCTTTTTACTACCCCACAGTCAAAAAGTGACAGCTCCAGATGTTTCCCTTTTGTCTCAGCTGTCCAGAGGATACTATCCCATAAAGAAATCAGGGTGTTTCAACAAGGCTTTTGATATATTCCAGTCTGGATTTCTTGTATTTTCAATAGTTGGGCTTGATAACCACTATTCTTAGGTTATCAATGTATGTTTGAGTTTATATTGGCTCTTCCTAGAGAATGATCCTCATGTTTTTGTTGTGTTTTAAACAAACATCAGCGTGCTTAATGCATAATGGTTGCTGTTTAGCACTTTATTTCTTTGTAAAATGTTGACAACTAAATCCTCTGAGAAGCAGCTTTTCTTCCCAGTCAGAGAATGGACTTTGACTATTTGTTCAACCAGAATGAGAACATTTATATTACCAGCATTAACTGATTAGCAAAAAAACAAAAAAACAAAGAAGAAGAAGGTGTCACCATACTGAAAGAAAATATCCTATCCCATCCCCAAGTCTTATTTGTTTTTGTTTTTTTGTTTTTTTTCCCCCCAGCTTTTTCTTGTATTGGTCTGTGCTCTCTGCTAATGTTTCCCGTCATTTATAGCCACTATTGTGAATGTGCTCTGAGGGACAGCTCCTCATCTGTTGTGACTAAACACCTAAGTGCACGAACGGATTCAATAGAGCCTGCTTATGCTCTGCCAGCAAGGCCACCTCCTTTTCACACACACCATATTTTTTTCACAGCAGCGTTTTCAGAGAAGCAGTGAACAGACAATGGGAATAGTTAAAAAAAAAAAAATGCTTTCCGCCCTTGAAGATGGCAAATGAGTTTACCTTTTGCAATACAGAGAATGTAATCACCTTTGCCTGCGTATTTATTGCAGCCGTAATTCTCAGAAACTCTTTGTGTCTCAAGTTATTGACGTCAGTCACGCTGATCTTTAAATAGTGCAAGGACAGGATGAAACTGTGCAAGGCAAAGACACAAAACACCTCATTATACTCATCAGTTTCAACCAACACCACAGCCTGGTGTGCAAAAAAAACCCCTTCTATTTCCAAAGGGTTGCTACGTTGGAGCTCATTATTTTTTCAAGTAAAATCATAAATCTAGTCTCTGTCAGCTGGGACAGTGTGATGACCCAGGGCTAAAACTCTTGTTGTCTATATTTGCAGACAATGAGCTTGCTGCTCCATGTAGCCTACACTAGTTGATATTAAACAGAAAGAATAAACTGTTGCAAATGTCAAAATAAAACAAACAAAAAAAAAAATGATAAAAAGATAAACATATTACCACATGAACAGCCTTCCTTCAGCTGTGCTGTTCAGGGGCAACTTCCTGGAATCAAAGTTTGTTCCAGGGCATAAAATCCTTCGGCATCAATCTGAAACTAAAATGAAACTTTGGAATTATTAGAAGAAGGTGGTTTCAAAGGTTAACACAGACTTAATGTCCGTTCCCTCATTCCTCTTTGACAGAAGCATGTGTCTGAACTCATTTTCGTCCGGAACTGACAAGAGGTAAAGTATAAATTTTTATGCTCACGAGGAGAAACCTCTGCTTCTCAAAAGCGCTGAGTCATCTGTCCAGGTATCCTTCAGTTTTATACTTAGATACTGCAGAAAAATGATCTGATGCAAAGCATGCTGCGGGAAGCAAATTAGTTACTGGAAGCTTTCTGTTACATGATGTACTTTCTGAGCTTCAAGGTTGTTATATAGTTAGCACTGTTCTCTTGCAGAACAAAGGTTCTGGGTTCAAATCTGAGCGACTGAGGGGCGATTGCACATTCACTCTGTGCATGTAAGGCTTTTCCTCACCTTCTTTCTATCACCCTCAGACTTAGATTAATTATTGACTGTGATGGACTGTAAAGAACTTTCAGTAGCATGATCCACCCATTGTCTATACCTGTTTGTCCTTGCAGATATGTAACAAAAAATGCCAGAGATGATGGAACAGTTTGTAGCTCTATTGCCTTGCAGCAAGAAGGTCCTGGAGTCGAATCATGGCCTAGGGTCTTTCTGCATTGAGTTTTTAATCTCTCCCCATGCATGCCTGCTTTTGAAATTGTTTGTCCTCCTGTTGTATATGGCAACAACATCTGGCTCGCTCCAAATGACCACTACAGATATGCATCAGACAATGAGATTAAGACTTGACACACTGCACAATCATAGATGAAAAACGGTATTGTTTTTAGCTGTGGCAAAATCCAAAAGATACGGAGGTTTCAGTGCAGAAATAAATAGTTTGGCTGTCGTGGTGTCAGGAGAGCTGGACTATGAAGAGAGGAAGCGAGGAGGAGAGAGAGACAACAGCTGATGAAAAACTCATGTCTGGCCAAAACTGCACAGTAACCACACATGTGACGCTGTAAGCAGCTGCACTTG